TTTCATTTATTTGTCTGTCTTTTAAGCCATTGTTCTGTTTCATCCAGGCCTAGACTTCTTCAGACTGGCTGGAAAAGTTAAATCAGGCCGTAGGAGTCCATTGTAGTTCTTGAATGATGTTTACAACAGACTGTTTGGGTTTTATTATTCAGCCTGTTCATCCTAAGGTTGCCAGATGCCTTGTTCCTCCACCCCGGGATTATTTTTAAGTAAATACCAGATGCCATGTTATTTCACTTATAAATATTTCAATGTGTATCTCTTAAAGGTTGAGAGTTTTAAAAAAAAGCATCATGGTACCATTATTAAACCTAAAACGGTAGTAATAATTCCTTAATATCAAATTTTTAATCAGTGTAAGCTTTTCCCTACATATCTTATAATTTCTAAAAATGCCTTTTCTGTTTGCACTGAAGTCCAATTGGTTGATAGGTCTTTAAAGTCTTTTTTTTTTTTTTTTTGTTAAATCTGTAGGTCCCCCTTCCATCTTTATGCTCCTTGCAGTTTATTGTTCTTGTTCTTGAATAAGCTGGGTCCCTTATCTGCCCACCTGCCTAAAAGCTGGATTTTGCTGATTGCCTCCTTGACATTGATGGATGGATTCCCCCTGCCCCCTGTGTTTCCTGGCAGATCACGGTCCATCAGGTCTTGGGCAGAGTCAGTCTTCCATGTGGGAGGGATAAGATTTCTGCAGAGGGGTGCTGGTGTTTCAGTTTGGATGCCCAGGGTGTCTGGTTGTCTCCTGGTGGTGGAGTCAACAGCCCATGATGGTCACTCTCTAAAGCCATGAGTTCACCAGAGTCGCAAAGTGCTGACATTCTAATTCTTCTGTTCCTTCTTGATGTATTAGGTAGAATACCCTGAAAAGAGAAACTTTCCCAAACAACTCTTCGGTTACCATGGAGTGCAGATTGTTTGGGAAATGCAGGTGGGGCGTCTGGGTGGCTCAGTCGGTTGAGCATCAGACTCTGCTCAGGTCATAATCTCACAGTTCCTGGATTCAAGCCTCACCTAGGGCTCTACACTGACAGTGTGGATCCTGCTTCTGATTCTCTCTCCCTCTCTCTGTCCCTCCCCTGTGTGCATGCACTCACGTGCTCACACTCTCCTTCTTTCAAAAAGAATTAACATTAAAAAAAAAAAATGATGGGGTGCCTGGGTGGCTCAGTCAGTTAAGCGTCTGACTTTGGCTCAGGTCATGATCTCACAGTTTGTGGGTTTGAGCCCCGTGTCAGGCTCTGTGCTGACAGCTCAGAGCTTAGAGCCTGGAGCCTGCTTTGGATTCTGTGTCTCCCTCTCTCTCTGCCCCTCCCCTGCTCATGCTCTGTCTCTCTCTCTCTCTCAAAAATAGATAAACATCAAAAAAAAAAAAAAAAACAAAAAAAAAAAAAAAAGAAGGGTAAGTGCTTGAATCTTCCCCTTTATTTACAGTTTTTAAAATAATGAGGTGATTCTTTTGATTCTCCAAAGGGGACATTTGGTTTTTATCTTTTAATTATGAGCTCATAATTTATGCATATCTCACGCGTTTCAGTCTACTGCAGTTACTGTTCTTTCTGCCACTGTGCTTTGTCGGCGGCCACTTATCAGGTTGACTGAGTCCTTTTGCTGCATCTCTTGTCTTGGTTATTTCTCACTGTGTAACACAACTTAGGAGCTCCAAACTCCTAAGCCCCCAAATTTAGGGGCTTAAAACAACATTTATTATCTCACTGTTTCTGTGAGTCAGGAGTCTGGGTGGGGTTTACCTGGGTCCTCTGATGGCTCAGGGTCTCAAGGCTGCAGTCCAGGGCCTTCCAGCCTGGCTGGGGGAGGGACACTTCCAGGCTCACCCAGGTGGCTGCTGGCAGGCCGCAATTCCTTGCCATGTGAGTCTCTCCCAAAGTCTCGCAGTGTGGCAGCTGGCTGTCCCCATTGCCAGGGCTCTGAGAGAGACACCCTCAGGAGAGCCAGCAAGTCAGAAATCAGAATCATTTTATAACCCAAACTAGGAAGTGACAGATCATCACTTTTGGGGTGGTAGTGTTCTAGTTATTAGAAGTGAGTTTCTAGGTCCAGCCCATTTGCTGGGGAGGGGATTGCACAGGGTCACAGATACCCGGAGGCAGGGATCACCAGGAACCATGTTAGACGTTGCTTATGGACAACCTGGACAAACCAGTAACTTTTGATGTGACAGAATCCTGCTTTCTTGTGTGAGAAGATAGTTCAAATATTTGGATTGAGTCTTTCTCCAAAGAACCCTGACACTGAATGGAATTTAGAGACTATAATTTGGGCATAAGATTCTAGGCCTTTTCAGAGGACAAAGCTAGGGAGTACTTTCTTTTTCTTTCTCAATTTCAGATAAAGTTTATGCTAGCCCCATTCAGATTCAGGACGAGAGAGTTTTTTTTTTTTACTTAACCTCATCCATCTTATGTTTGTATCTCTTTTCATCTAGAAACCTTGGTTCTCAAGGCCACAGCCATAATTACTCCAGTATCATCCCATAATACACAAACAGAAGTCTCCAAATGCCGACACTTACTTTACCATCAAATATATGATTACTGAAAATGCTTTAAGACTTCTTTATAGTTGTTTTTCTCTCCGGGCTATATCCCACTGCATTCTACAGTCAGATTCCAACATATAATGGAAATCATCTCACACTGTGCATGGCACCTGGGTGGTTCAGTCAGTTAAGTGTCTCACTCTTGGCTTTGGCTCAGGTCATGATCTTGAGGCTAGTGAGTTTGGGCCCCACATTGGGCTCAGTGCTGACAGTGCAGAGCCTGCTTGGGATTCTCTCCCCCTCTCTCACTGCCCCTCCCCTTCTTGTGTTCTCTCTGAAAAATAAGTAAACTTAAAAAAAAAAAAAGGCAAAACCTCTTTGACTTCGGCCGCACCAACTTCTTACTCAGCATGTCTCTGGAGGCAAGGGAAGTCAAAGCAAAAATGAACTATTGGGATCTCATCAAAATACAAAGCTTTTGCACAGTGAAGGAAACAATCAGCAAAACTAAAAGGCAACCGACGGAATGGGAGAAGATATCTGCAAACGACATACCAGATAAAGGGTTAGTATCCAAAATCAATAGAGAATTTATCAAACTTAACGCCCCAAAAACAAATAATCCAGTGAAGAAATGGGCAAAAGACATGAATAGACACTTCTCCAAAGAAGACATCCAGATGACCAACCGATACATGAAAAATGCTCAACATCTCTCATCATCAGGGAAACACAAATCAACACCACCATGAGATACCACCTCACACCTGTCAGAATGGCTAACATTAACTACTCAGGCAACAACAGATGTTAGCAAGGATACAGAGAAAGGGGCACCCTTTTGCATTATTGGTGGGAATGCAAACTGGTGCAGCCACTCTGGAAAACTGTATGGAGGTTCCTCAAAAAATTAAAAATAGAACTACCCTACAACCCAGCAATTGCACTACTGGGTATTTATCCAAGGGATACAGGTATGCTGTTTCGAAGGGGCACATGTACCCAATGTTTATAGCAGCACTATCAACAATAGCCAAAGTATGGAAAGAGCCCAAATGTCCATCAATGGATGAATGGATAAAGAAGATGTGGCACATATATGCAATGGAGTATTACTCAGCAATCAAAAAGAATGAAATCTTGCCATTTGCAACTATGTGGATGGAACTACAGGGTATTATGCTAAGTGAAATTAGTCAGAGAAAGACAAACATCGTATCACTTCACTCATATGAGGACTTTAAGATACAAAACAGATGAACGTAAGGGAAGGGAAGCAAAAATAATATAAAAACATGAGGGGGACAAAACATGAGAGACTCCTAAATATAAAGAACAAACAGAGGGTTGCCGGAGGGGTTGTGGGAGGGGGGATGGCTAAATGGGTAAGGGGCATTAAGGAATCTACTCCTGAAATCATTGTTGCACCATATCCTAACTAACTTGGATGTAAACTAAAAAATAATAAATTATTAATTAAAAAATAAATTATTAATTAAAATAATTATTAATTAAAAATTAATTAAAATTATTAATTAAAATAATAAATTATTAATTAAATGTCACACTGTGGTATGCCAGTTCACTTGCTTCAGCTTACTTTTATGTTTTAGGTCACTTTATTTTTATTTTTTATTTTGAGAGAGAGAGAGAGCACGCGCACATGCACATGTGGAAGGGGTAGAGAAAGAAGGAGAGAGAGAATCCCAAGCAGGCTCTATCCTGTCAGCTCAGAGCCTGATGCAGGGCTCAATCCCATGAGATCATGACCTGAGCTGAAATCAAGAGTCAGATGTTCAACTGACTGAGCCACCCAGGCACCCCTTTTATTTTTATTTTAATTTAATTTTGTTTTTTAACATGGAACACATGACCTGCCCTTCAACTGCACTAAAACACTGATCTGTTTTAGGTCATTAAAAAGTAATCTTGTTTTATTTTCTTATAATTCTAGCATCCTAGGTATACTTTTCTCCACTTTGCATTCCCCTCTTAACAATACATCCTGGCTCCCATTCCCTAACAGTTGATAGAGACCTTCCTCATTCCTTTTTCAGTAACCGACCACTCCATTGTATAGATACATGGTTATTTATTCTCCAGAACTGTTCTCAGGAGTCCTGTGGACTTCCAGTTCTGTTGTTTTCCAGGCACTGCAGTTTCTGAATGTATATGGAAAGAAGGTGGGAGGAGGTGGCAGTGCCCTGGCTGCTTCTAGAAGCAGCGCCTGTTTGCGACCATTCATACCAGTTTTCTTCTTGGTTCTCCTCTTGGGTGGAGGGGAGAAGGTGTCTTTTATAACCAGGTAGGTGGGGCTGCTTTTTTCATGAGTCACACAACCCTCCACGGTTTCTGTCATTTAATTTACACTCCTCTTGGCTGGCAGTTAGAGATTCTTCCAGGTTTTGAGAACACATTATTTGTCAGTCTTAAGTTTTTTGATGGTGGCATCTGTTTTGTGTGTCTTTGTGTTTGTATTAGTAAAGATTTG